GTATGAGATATGTGTGTGTGTGTGTGTGTGTGTGTGTGTGTCTGCGTGTGTGTGTGTCTGCCTGTATGTATGTGGGGGCATATATGTGAGTGTATGTGTCTTTACTAGGGGTGCGAGATTAGGCTGCTTTTTACTTCTGTGTTCTTATCATTTCATGAGATATGTTCTAACATTCTCTCAGAATTTTGAAATGTTTTGATTTAACTATATTTACGGGACAGCTTAACATTCCACAGACAAAAGGAAAGTGCTCTGGTATTTTGCTCTGAACACTTAAATTGATCTTATGCTTTTGTAAGAACAAGAACCTTATTTAATTGGATGGCCTCAGTGGAAAGCTGTTTTTATATGTTTTCACTTTTAATAACTTCGTAACACAAGCAGCAGCAGAAGGCATGGGGTTTAACATAATGGTAAGGTACAGTGTGAGCAGTGAGAGCAGAGGCGAGGCCAGGGAGGAAGGGTAATGCATGCGAGGCCAGGGATGCCCCACTAAAGCCTTGGGCGTGCTTCTCCGGGGATTGAGACGTCACTGAAGGATTGCAACCTGAGAGGCAACATGACTGGGTTCATATTTTGGAAGGTTCACTCAGGTAGGGGTGTGGACCTCTCCCACTGGTATGGCTCTTCTCGCTCACCAAGCCAAGTGAGATGTTTTGCCCACTGTCAAATGTTTCTGAGCACGTCCCTGAAGAACTAGGATGTGGCGATACGTTTCTCAGAGTATGGTTCTGGGTCCACCTGCATCCGAATTATCCAGGGGATACTTGTTAAGGAGGCTAATCCACAGACACTACCTGATACTTACCGAATTAGGATCTTTGCAGATTGTTAATATTTCATCCTGATTTTGCTCAAACGCTCCCTTTGTTCAGAACATTCTCCCTTTCTTTTTCTCTAACTTACTTTTTGTCCCCCGTCCTGCCCCCCAAAACCTAGTTCAATTATTGCTTCCTTGAGGATGTCAGTCCTCAGTCAAGATAATTGACCACACTCCCCATTGTGCTCCTACTATTCTGTTTAATTATTTCTACACCGAATGTAGTAGCACAGTAATGCACTGTTTTGTTCACATTTGTATTTTTCCCACTGGGTTTTTAGAGGACAGTGATTATGGTGTACGTGTCTTGGTTTCCCCTGTGCTTTCCACAGGAGTTTAGGTGCTTGATAAACATTGTTGGATAAACATATGAATACACGAATGTTTCTTAAGCCTGTCCACATTTCTAACTTTTCTCTGGCTACTTGTGTTTATCTGACAAATGTTTATTGAATGCTTACTTTGTGTTTAATTCTCTGCTTACTGTTAGTGGAAGGCTGTAGGTTTCTATTTGGGGCAACGTAACATATTTGGTTGAAACGAGTATGTTATGGTTCACACCATGATGCTGTGGATATTTCCCAAGTGAAGATGTTAGTATCGGTTAGCAATAACTCAGACAACTAAGTGAAGGATTTGGGATTTGAAATGGACCTTGAGGGTCCAATAAAATTTGGGAAGGTGGAGAGAGACCATGCCACTTGTAATCAGTGTTCAAGTAGGAACGTATGTGGAAGAGTCCAAGTTCACAATAAGAAAGGAGGGTGAAGAAAAGATGAGCAAATTGAAAAGAGTGGCAATGTATGGAAGAATACATAGACTATTCTTGGAAGAAAATAAATGAAATCCCTGGCAACATCTGAGAAAATAAGTTTACTGTACAGAATGGAAAAAGATAAGATGTACACAGTGGGAAACAGAAAGAGTAAATGAAAATATTCAAAATCTGAATTTGTCTAAATGGCCCCAGAGCATCTTGTGTAAAGAAAGAAGCTATGTATGATGCAACACGTGTGCATGGTAGATGAAGCCACTGTGCCCATTTTAGCTTTTCCCATGTTTTGTGACTTAAAACTGGATCAGCGACCCACAACTCCACCCCATGTTGGATAATGTGGGACTGATCCCTCAGGCTACGCCAGACTTCCAGCCTCCGGGGGCGTGGGGGGTGGGGAGGAGAGAAGTCTGTGAGGAGGCCTGTCCCTGTGATGGGGAGCTGGTGCAGTCTGTCTTGTGATGTGAAGGGACCTCACTGGTGACATCAGGAGTTGTTCAAAAGGTAAATAATGATGCCTAAGGTAGGTCCCGATCACAGATCATCTGGCATGGCCGAATTATTCTGCCTATAAGTTTCCTGACAAATATACTGTTTTTATTACTTGTGTATACATTTCTGTATCTGTGAGCAGCACTTGGTGAACAGCCTGCTGTTTTGCCTTTGCTGATGAAAGCTTTGACTCCAAGAATGAGGCACATTATTTTTTCCTAGGCAGGTCATCGGTGGCTTGGGTCTCTCCAAGCTCGTAACGATAGAGCCATTCTATATGTGAAGCAGTCTGGGCCTTTCTGCTAAGTACTTCCAAAGAGGAGATGTGAAGTCAGTGGATGCCAAAGGGTCGGAAGGATTGTGCAGGGAAGAAAACGTGGAGGCCAGTGTGTTTTAGCTAGTCAATGCCTAAAACCCAAAGAAAGTTGAAGTATGTGTATAACTAAGATATCACAACAAAAATGACATATATAAACTTTGAGAAGGAAGCATTGAACAAACAGGGTTTACGATTTGTGAATTATGGGACTAGATAAATGAGAACTAAATTGTCAAGACAACTTGGAAGATTTCTGCCTCGTGAAAGTTCTCAAAGATGCATTTATATTTCGTTCCTGCGTGATGTATGGCTCCATAAGTTTTGGGCAAAGGCAGGAGTAGAAAGACTCCACCTGCAGTCCAGGAGGTCCTGCCCACTGTGAAGGGTGCTGATTCTGCTAGTTATAAGTTATAACCTGTCATATGTTTTTTGAATTAGGACGGTGATTCTGGCAAAAGGACCACGTCCAGATTTGAGAAGGTGGGGTTTCAACCCAACACCGTACCGTTTGCAGTGGGGACTCCCTCAGATGACCTTAGTTAATATTCATTCTTTTCTAAAACTGGGAATTGGCTGACAAACTATATGAGTTACGGCCTTTTTTTATTTGTGCAAAGTGGAGACTAGAAATTTATGGAACAGGAAGTGATAAATCAAAGAGATGAAATGACTAAGAAATCGCTCCCTTAAACTTTTGTATTTGTGGATGCGCCGGCAAAAAAATAAAACATCCTGGAAAAGTGAAGACAGTAAAATACTTTTGAGTTCCTCCTAGACACGCATGATATAAATGCGATGCATTATATTCATTTATGCTCCTAGAAGGCACAATTTTTTTTTTGAGTGCTCCAAAGAAAGGGTGATTTGATACATGAGAAAAAAAGTGCTAAAAGAAACGTTTAAAATACTTGCCACTGGAACATCATTTCAAACCTGTCAGAAATGTGAGCAGGAAATAGAAAAATTCTGCCTTGACAATGTTTGGGGGAAAATGGGCCAACTAAACAAATATCATTTGAAGGCAGCCAGTAAGGATTAAAATGCTCAGAAACACAATTTTGTTTCCTTTTACAAATTCTTTCTCTAGACTTTTTAGTCACTCATGAAACAGATGTCATTTTTGAAAATGCAGAATTGCAAAACACACAAAAAAATCAGCATCCTTCAAGAATACTCTTGCGCTTTCTTCTTATTTGCTGGTAGGAAACATGTGTGTCTTGAATATCAATTATCTTTTCAGTTCAGTATTTTCTTTGGAGAACAAAAACTTTCTGGTACAGCTGCAGAGCACAAACAAAATGGTATTGCAGAAGAGCAACTAGCACCTTGGAGCCAGCTGTGCAGGCTATTTTGTCATCTTTTCTTTAACCCTCTGAGTCCTGAATGAGAGTGGGGAACATTCTGGAATGTGATTAGGTGTGTGTGTATGTGCATGCACTTCAGACTTTCTCTGCTTGTATTGGAGGGCGGTATGAAACAGATGAAGTCAGGACTAGTCTAGTCCCAGCTCTGCCACTTATTAGTTGTGTGACTTTGGGAAACCTGTTTAACTTTCCTTAAGCCTCATTTTCCTCATCTGCAAAATGGCTATAATATTTGCTTCATAGAGTTGTTATGAGAAGTAAGACAGTGTATTTTAAAATACTTAGCACATAATAGATGCTTGATAGATGGTAGCTATTATGAGGTTGCAACCAATTTGAGGTCAACGTTTTGTTTTTGAGCCCTGCTCTACTGACCTGTTATGGTGATAGGCGCAAAAATACGTGATATTCAATTGTTCCTCTGCAGCATTGTACAAATATCTGGGCACCTACTGTGTGTCAGCACTTTCTGTGCTGTGCTAGTTCTTCTATAAACCTGTATAATTGTGTCATTGTTACCATTTTCTAGATAGGAAAGTGACTTGCAGATCGACTCAGAAAATTACTCAAGCTCAAGGCAATTAGAGGTAGAACTGGGGTTCAAATGTAAGCCTTCAAGTGTTGTCTATCATTCTTTCCAGAGAAACTTCCTAAGACAAACAAAACAAAAAACTTAGCAGCAACAACACAAAACAAACCACCAGGGGTGAGAATATGGCGGCGTATCAGATCGTGTGCCGAGTGGGAAAGTCAGTCTGCAGAAGCAGGGTGGGGGAGGAGCCTCTGGGGCCCTGACTTAATCAAGGAGCCTCAGAAGTGTGAGTGTTCAGATGGGAGATTTACTGTGATCTGGGGGTATGAGCCAGAGGCCGCTTCCACTGAAATTATAATTTCATCTCTGCAATCCACAGCACGTGCATTAGCTATAATTTATGTTGTTTGGAACCAGGCTCATCCACACCTTTGGTGTTTTGCTGGCTCCCACTGACTTTCAGGAAAGGAAATTTAAAGGAAATTGAAAGGTGTTTCCTGACGCACTGCCAGGAACTACCAACTTTCCTAGGAAGAGCCACTTTTATATAAAACATTTGATTCCATGCCCATTAGCTTCATGTAAACTAAGTTTGGAAAAAAAAAACAGAAAAAAAAACCGTAAAAAAGTAAAGTTTCTTTACTGTGAATGGGGTTTATTCAATAAATATCCTTTTTTTTTTTTTTTTTTTTAACAAGCTCCTTCGGAACAAAATCAAAGGGGAAGAAAGGGCAAAAGAAGAAACAACCTGTCTGTTTTCCCAGAGGAGGAGGGTTTTCATGTTAGATGGTGAGTCCAGAGCCAAGGACAGCACGCTGCTCCCCTCACTGTCTGTCTTCTCAGTAAACATTTCTTTTTTCACAAAGTCAGGGCACCTGAATCTGAAATTTAAATCCCTGACACCCTCCACATGAGGGTTGGAAGTGGATGCTCAGATCCTCGGGGTTGCCTGTGATGTGGCTGTCAGGGCTGGTGTCTGATGGATGCAGTGACTTTGAGGGAGAGGAGGCTGGCTTGCCAGGAGACATGCCCGCCAGCGTGACTCGTGAGGACGGGCAGGGCGAGACCCAGGCTGAGTGCCCAGGAAGACCTGTGGGTGGAAATCACAGTCCTTTGCTTGAAGGCCTCTTGCTGCTGGGTGACACAGGTCTGCTCTCCTAGATATTGTCTGTTCCTTTTTCCTCCAAGAAAGCAAAATGACCTTGCAGTTTACTTTCCATTTTGCTCCAACTGGAATGTTCCAAAGGGCTTACTTTTTGCTTTCAGATGACCTTGGAGGGAAGCAGATAGTTGAACTTCTGTAAAGTGTATGTGACTGTTTGCTTGCTGGCTCTTTAGCCAATGAACATTTTTCTGCAGTAAGAGTGGGAAGCAAAATTGGCTGGTATTGAACCCCACTCTTTCTGCCTTTTGGAATATTTTTCTGGTGTATAACTGGTATTGGGAAAAGGAGACCCTCTGTAAATTTTATCGGTGATCTAGTAACCTTGATATGATTGGGGCTGTGTGGGAGAGCTTGATGGCGTAACCTGGGACTAATGGCTGGTATCCTAGTCACAAGTGCAGTTGGAAAATGAAGAGTTTCTTACTCCTCCCCTCTATGATGACACAACGTTTTAGTGTTAAGGCTACTCTTTTTTCTGGAGCTGTTTCGGCCAACATCCTACACGGTGATTTTTTTTGCCATGATGAGCCACGAAAACTACTTTTTTGAAGATTATGGGAATATGAATAATAATTCATATCTCTGTTAGGGTGAGCAACAATCCTGGTTTGCCTGGGACTGAGGCGTTTCCTGGGATATGAGATTTTCAACTTTAAAACCAGCATAATCCCAGACAAAGAGGAACTATTGGTCATCCTGTCATAAGAGGACAGCAGGGCGTAGAGCACTGGACTGAGAATTAGAAAGCCTGGTATTAAGTATTGGCTCTTCAACTGACCAGCTGTGTGGCCCTGGGTAACCCTTCCCAAGTGCAGTTCCCTCAGCTGCAAAATGAAAGTTCTGCCTGTACAGTCCGTGGGGTTCCTTCCTGCTTCAATTAGCCCATGATTCCAGGACTATTTACAGTGACTGAAATGGGAGCAAAGTGATCAAGAATCCATCTAATGTCTTCAAAAGGTTCCATTTCCAGCTTGGGTAGAGACCCTGCCCACCCTAGAAATCTGGAAATGCCTCCATCTCTTTTCCAACCAGCCTGTGCTACTCGGTCTCCCTGCCGTCGCCCCCTAGAGTTCCAAGCACGGACCCTCAGCCTGCTGCACCCGGCACACTCTGCACTCCGTTTTTGAAAACGCTGCCCTCCCACTGCCATGACCTTCGTGCAGCCTGTCATCACCCCCCACTTGGACTTGCTTGGCTTCTGCTGCCCCGTTTTTAAAAAGAACACGACCGCGTCATTAACTTTTCTCCATAACTGCTCATGAATTTGACCGACTGAGGCTTTCCTGTGCCTAACTATACATCAAAAAGTGTAGTTATACACTGACTTGGGGCAAACATTCTCATCGTGGTCTTAAAATAACATACTTCTTTTTTTAAAATTAAGTTTATTGGGGTGACAATGGTTAGTAAAATTAACATACTTCTTAATCGCAGTCTGACTCTTCCTTTCATCGTTAGCTCTAATTTGTAAGTTTAAAATAAAACCTTCTGCCATTATCAGGAACACAATTGCCATGTTGAGTTCCTTCTTGTTTTCAAAATTTTAATTTGAACTTACAGTTTGCCCATTTTGAGGTGGCTCACACAATTAAATAATACAAAACAAGATAATTAAGTGTGAAATTAGAACAGACACCACCTTATAGCAACAGATGAAGGGAAGGTCACCTAGCGCTTAAAATAAAATTATAATTATTAATAACTGCTAATAATAGGAACTAACTGTAATGGAGTGCTTGCCATGCCCAGCATTGGCACTTTTCATGGATTATGTCCATTTTCTAACACTGAAGGCACACAGGGAAACATTTGAGGCACACAGCTCTCATTGTCTGGTCAAAGAAAATGTATACATTGATTTCTAGAGAGCGACTTTTTCTGAACGAAATTAAAGGGACTGTTTTATGTGTGCACTTTTCTGAAGCGCTTTGGATCACATGTGGAAAACTTTTCAGTTATGATTTTGCAATGAACAAATGAACATTTTTCAATACAGTGCTTCTTGTTTTGTGGCAACTTAGGTGGCAACATAAACTGTAATTTAGCAGAATATTGAACTCATCATCAAGGGCTGAGTAATTTTCTTTTTTCTTTTGGATCATCTATGATGGCATAGGGATAGAATTTAGGAAATGTCAATCAGAGAATTGGGATGTCCACTTGAACATTCTCTTTAACACCAGATGACTTGGGTAACCCACTGTGAGGTCTAATGTACAGTTAGATCATTATCAATTTCTTTAACTATGAAGCAAGTGTTCTGAGCTCCTGTGGTTAACCTAGGACCATATATTTTATGTACTAAATGCATAGGCAGCAAAGTGGATATTCTCATTTGGTTCCTTATGAACCTAATTCTTATTTCCACTTGAGCGTGGGTAGTGGTTTTCCCAAAGAAGAGCTTTACATCTTCTCAAGCCCTTGCACAACACTTGGCAGAGATCCTAGAAGTCTGTACCATACAGCATGAAGGAATTCATTTTAGCATGAAACAATTTTAAAGGCATTTATTACCAGCAGACCTTCTTACCCAAGAAGAAACTACATCCTGATGAGCAAGCCAGAATAAAATTAACTGTAAAACACATTTCCTTATAGTTGAAAGAATGGATGCATTGTGTGGAGTTAAATTGATGGAGTTAATTGAAATGTAATTAATGTTGGGAAATGCCTTTTAATTCAATGAGTTTGCATTTGTGTTAAATGTTTGATACGGATTTGCATTTCCTGAAAATAACTAGGAAGTGAATTGATTTTATATGATAATTAAAACATTTCACCAGAATTTTTCAAAAAGAAGTATATCCTCCTGTAGTGCATGTGTGTGTGTGAGAGAGGGAGAAAGGGGGAAGTTATGTATCCGCTATATCTGTTGCCTACACCAAGTTGTTTGATGTAAATTAAAAAGACAGGGAAGGAATTAGGACCTAGCCATGGTTAACATCATTTACATTGACATTAATTGTAGTATGAAAATGTTTTTGTTGCTTCTGATTTTTGCTGTAATATCAAGATACAGTAACCTCTAATATCATGAGTGTCCCCTATTTTGTATTCATTGAGAATTGTTCACAATAATAACAATTAACTCTGAATAATACCTATAATTTGCCAGGTACCGAGTTAAGGGCTTTATGCATATAAACTCATTTGACCTAAATACCCTAAAGGGTATATGTCTTTATTATTATCCTTATTTTACAGATGGGAAACTGAATAACAGAGGTATTAACACAGCTCATAACTGGAGAATCCTGGATTCAAACCAGGGCACCCTGACTCCAGAGCAAATGCTCATACCACTAGATAATATGGCTGCTGTCATAGATCGGTGAATTTCATAAATGGCCTTAAATTGCTTCGATATGATATTTCATGGAGATAAAACACCCTATAAAACTGATCACAGTGAGAAAATTATTCCTCAAATCCTCTTACTCCCCGTAAAGTTACCTCTTTTGGAGAAAAATTGTGGTCCTACAATTTGCTTAGAATTAATCTGCCATGTTATTTGAAACAAAAATGTCTAGGAGTCTAATAGGCCTATTGTTTTGAATAGATAAAGCACTTTTCTTTTGGAAGACAAGGCAAACTAGCTCATATTCTTCCTAAGGGGATTATTAGAGCTAACTAGAATACACTAGTTTAAAAAATTGGGTTTACTTAAGAAAAATTCTTAAGAGATTCCTTGGGAAGAGACCTTCCCCTTGGGTCATCTTCCCCAATAGTAAGTGATTGATCAGATGTTTTAGAGTGCGTGGAGTTCAAGGCTCCCAGTTGGGCCAGTTCCTGGCACCTACAAAACACAGCGACCACGATGGCTAAGTGAAGTGACTTGTCCAGTCATCGATAGAGACAGGCGCTTCCACATCCCTTTCACAAAAGTCATGCAGTGTCTCAGAACCTGCACTTAATTGCTACTTACAGCTGAGCCCAAAACCTCCCACTGGGGTCTATTGTAATTATTGCACTCTAGGATTTTTTTTTTAACTACAAGAAATTGTTGGTTTTAGGATCTTTTGGTGATATACAAAAATCTACATTTGCTAGATTGTAGACAATCAGTATTTATTAAACCAAGATATACGTTGGCAAATTCTTTTTCCCTGGTTCCAAGTAATGGTATAATAAAGCCAAGTTAAGCTATCTATGATCAAGGTTATATATAAAGAAGAAATTTTTCCCAAAAGACAGGATGAGTTAAGTACTACCAAGTCAAGTAAAGTAGATTAATTAAAGAATTGAAAAATTCTCACTTGATTTAGCTTTCATATTTTTGTAATAAATAATAAGATAACTTAAAATGAAAATTGTTAGAAATGTATTATGTTATCAATACTTTCATTACCAAAAACACTTTCTCTCAACTTTCATTGGAGGCAGGTGAAGGCATTCTCATAGTCCGAGGGGGTCAGAGTGATAATTTTGAAACAGAAAGAAAGGTTGTCTCAAGTGTTGGGAATCACAGACTATGGTGAGTTACCGTAAAGAACCTGGAAGCCTCCTTCTGTTATTTTCTTGGAACAAGATTCACTCATTTATTATTTCAACATATATATATTGAGTTTCTACTGTGTGTGCTAGGCACTTCATATAAGATTGTTTTGAAAGTGCCATGGGCAGA